GGAGTCTTGAGGGGGCAGAGAATGGGGTGCAGGGACAGGCACCCACAGTGACTGTGAGATACACTTACCAGCTGGCCAGGACACATCTTCCCTTCCCCAGGAGATGGAGAGAAGGCATTAACCAGGTCTTCCTCCCAGTCCAGGGTTGTCCGCAGGTCTGCCCTGAGCAGCCCCACGGGATCGGTGTGGCAGTGCCTGAGCACAGGCCGAGGCTTTGGCTGAGGATGCTCATCAGAGGCAAACACTTCACTGCTGCCAAAAGCTTTGTTCCTGCCTGCAGCATCTCCCCTGTACCTTGCAGGACTCTCTGTGAGGCTGATGAATCGCAGTAGCCGGAGCCTCCCAGTTCTCCTAGGAAAAGATCCCCACAGGGCAGCCAAGGTGTTGTCATGGGTCAGTGCATAGTCCAGTTTATCCTTGGGACTGTGCTTGCTGCTGCTCGGACAGAAGAAGCCACAGACACCTGCCTTGCCTTCCTCATCTCTAGCTGAGTTGGAAGAGCACTGGGTTGGGAGCTCATCCTGCTGGCCTGTAGGTGCTGGTGGCTCTGCTTGGCACTCAGCACTCCTCGTGTCCATCATCCATGGGCAGAAGTCCTGCTGCCTCTGGCAAAGCTGGCAATGCAAAACCAGAACCTCTTAGCAAGCACCACCCAGGAAATGACACTGATTTTGCTTTTCCCCATTTTCCTTTCCATCCCATTCAATTGGGAAGGGATGTAATGGTCCTTACTCCAGGAGTGTCTGTGCTCTCCTCACTGGAGCACACAGACCCGAGGCTGCAGCAGGATGTACAGCTCAGCCAGTGTTCTGTTCACTGCCAGCAGCACAGCACTGGGGGAAGAGGAGAGGTTTGGAGGAGGCTCCTTGGGATGGGTTTCACCCAGGTGGTGTCTGGGGTGTGTTTCAGGCCAGGAGATGCTGCCTCCAATCCCCAGGGAGAAGCTGGGGCTAAGCCTCCTGCTCAGGTAGGGGGAGTTTGGCCAAGCCAGACAGTGACCACTCCATCTCCTCCCACCCTGGGCTCTGCAGCACTGGGGGAGTTCATCCCCCACCAGCAGCACTGTGAGATAGTAGAGCACCCTGTGGCAGGAGCCTGAGCACTGTGTCCCTTGCTGTCCCCAGGGCTCTGGGTGACACTCCCTCGCCTCAGTGCACAGCACAAACAGCACTTCTCAGACACTGAGGGCTCAGAGAGCAGATGTGTCGAGGTGCCAGGCACGGAGAGGCTGTGACACTCCAAACAACCCCCTGTTCCCTTCCCTGAGACGTGGGCAGAGGGGACAAGGTTCAGGGAGTGTAAGAGGGGCAGGAGCACCAAACCTGTTCTTCCCACATCAGGAAGTGCACTTGTTTGCTTCTGTTCCACCTAAGACTGGGAGCAAACAGAGCAAACCTTTCCTCCTGTCTCTCAGGACCCACCCCCTGCCCTTGAGCCCCCCAGCACAGGCACTGCCCCTTGACACAGTGACAGCAGAGACACAGTGACCTTATGTGTGCCCCAGCAGCTCTGGATGCTGTGCTGTCACCCCTGCTCTGGGGACACTCTCCCTGCTGTCTCTGCTGAGGACCCTGTCCTGGGCACAGTGTGCCCCCTCCCAGCCCCTCACTGCCTGCAGCCCCACGCCAAGTACCTGCAGTGTGCATTCAGCAGCCTCCAGCCTGACTTGCAGCTCCTGCAGCCATCTCATCAGTCCCTGCAGGAGAGCCAAAGGTCGGGAATCACGGGATCACCAGCAGGCAATTCTTCACCAGGCGAGTTACTCACTGGTTTTACCGGAAAAATCCTTCCTTGCACTGCCACCTGCCCCATTCATTTGCTCTAAGATACAATCCAGCATACAGAGTATTTGCCTTAGAGGACTGGCTTGGGGGGAAAATGCTAAATTCAAGCTTTATCCAAACACCAAACACAAACAACAGATCTGCCCCTGGGAAAGCCTCTCTGGAGCAGATTTGTCTTTCCAGCAGCAGTAAAGTGTCTTTTTTAGACCACGCCTCTTGCTGAGTGGCCGTATCTTCTTGCCCAGAGGTGATAACTCCCACCGAGCAGGCAGAGACCCTGCAGAGGGGCAGGGCAGGCACTGCAGCCCGAGCTGGCGCTGGTCGAGGCTGGCGGCTCAGAGCTCGCCTCCTGCAGCTGTGCGAGTCTGCTCCTCGCCGCGGAGCTGGAAACGCAGGCTGAGCACCGAAGGGGAGGAACACACTCACCCGGCAAAGGGACGGCACAGTCCTGCGCCCTCTGCTGAGCACCGAGCCCTCCCCAGCCCGCAGAGCCTGCCTGGCGAGCGCGGCGTGTTCCCCGGCCGCGGAGCCCGGCACAGCCCGGAGAGAGCCGGGCAGGGATCCCGGAGAGATCCCAGAGAGAGATCCCGAACAGATCCCGGACAGAGATCCCCGAGAGACCCCCAACAGATCCCGGACAGGGATCCTGGACAGAGCCCCTTGGACAGAGCTCCCTGGACATATCCCAGATGGGGATCCCAAACAGTCCTGGCTGGCACCCCCTGGCACAGCACCAGGGCACAGACATACTATACTCCTGGGCACTGCCTCAAACCCCCGTGCAGGTCAGGGATGGGTTTAATTGCCATTGGGTCATTAGTCAATCAGGGATGGGTTTAATTGCCATTGGGTCATTAGTCAGCCAGGGATGGGTTTAATTACCATTGGTTCATTAGTCAGTCAGGGATGGGGTTTAATTGCCATTCACTCATCAGGCACTTTCCCCCCAGGTTTCTGCTGCCCCTTCACCCACACCTCATTCCCTCCCTGGCACACCAAGGTCAGCACTGCTGGGGCACACTCAGGTCCCCTGGGTGGTTCCTGAGACCTCCCAGTCCTGAAGCCACCTGAACTCCGATTTTGGGGTACACCAGCACTGCTGCTCCTTCCCCAGGCACTCTGTGACTGGCTGATCCAAGGCTGAGCAGGGTGATGTGCTGCCTCAGGAGCTCTGCAGGACAGCCAGGGTGGCTGAGGAGCAAATTCCAGCTCAGGCTTCATGATTTTCTGGAATCACAGAAGATAGACACTCTCCCATCAGTCGATGTGGTGCTTGTCCCCACTGGTGCTCCTCACTCACCTCTCTACCCTCCTACACCATGATGTTCTGCTCACAGACAGGGCTCTGTGTTCCAGTAACCACCACCTCCAGTCGAGAGGCTGAGCTGCCCCTCGTGAGGCTTTCCAGAACCAGATGGAACCAAAGCTAACATCATGCGGAGCCACAAGAACTCCAAGTCTGTTCTGCTGCAGCCCAAACCCAGCGGCAGGTCACACCCTCAGTGCCACACACCCTCCCTGGGAGGGCAGGAGGTGGTGGCTGCTGTGCTAAAGGGGATGGACACGAACCAAGAAACAGCAATCACTCCTGCCCCACAACCAGGACATCTCTGCCTGTTCCTCCCAGCTGAAAGCCTCAGTGAGCAGCTGAAAAGTGAATCCAGTTAATAGAAAAATAACTTTATTCTCTTGTATAAGTGAAGAGCACTGATACAGAACAAACCTCCACAAGACTCAGATCCAAGCCCAAAACAGGGAAAAACTAGGACTTTTAACACCTCTTAAAAGTCATTTTCCTTCTTCTCACAACATTGGATCAGTTAAATGTTACTCCAGTTATC